AATCAATTTATAGTTTTTTAGCATTATTCATTTTGATACATACAAAACAAATAATAAGTATTTCTTATTTTTTAATTTACACTATATATTTAGTATTTATTAACCTAACTCTAAATCAATTTCATTAGGTATGTGTCTATAAGAACAATACTTGTATACAGCATATTCTGCTACCCGACCAGTAAGTCCACGTCTATAAGCATCCATGTAATGCCATGCCTTTTGTGCAAAACAACATATAGTTGTAAGTAATACTGAATCAAGTGCTTCAGGTACTGTAACTTGTAATCCTGCCCATGAATAATCGCAATGTTTACGTGAATAGCGTTTTACAATGCCCCAGTATTGTTTAATGAAGTTTAGCTTATAGTGAAACTTAGGATAAAATATACAAACATGTCCTCGTTTAACAATAAGTTCTTCCAATGCTGATTTTTGTATAATAAAATCAGGCTGTGCAGACAACAAATGATGTGTACAACAATCAGGTGTGCTTGGTTCATAATAGTTATTTCCACACTTTAATCTTAGACCATCAGTAGGCCATAAATTACACTCACGAAGTATCTTTCGAATACCTTTTGGTTCATCACAGAAGATATAATTAGGATCATCAGGAGGAAGATCTTTAGAAAAAATCATTGACTGAGTAACTCGTTCACCTTGTGCATTAATAAACCAACCATCACCTAATCTTGACTGTTTACTACTGGGAGAAAGGTTCATATTTTTAGCACATAATGCATCACTTGCAAAAGTACCATGATTGGTACTATTATTAAATGCAAAGATACCAATACAGTTTGGATGAGTTGCTTCGAAAATAGGAATTGCTTTGTTAGCCACTTGCGTAAGCAAATCAGAAGCATTCCACCAGCCATCATCATTTTTTCCAGGCTTGATAATTATACGAGCTTCTTGTAGAAATGTTGATAGTAGGCTCAATTCATTCATTTCTTCAGAAGTAATCATAAGGTGACCACGTGTTTCAGTTAAAAATTCTGAAACCATAATTGCCTTATCCTTTCCTTTTTTGCGTAGTGGAGGTATACCAAGAGGAGCCCATACTGAAGGACGACCATCATTAGCATAAAAAATACACTTATCATAAGTGACAAAAATGTGAATTTTATTTTCTTCGCTTATTTCAGGATTAATGATGATTTCCATATTTTCGCCAACAAATTGCAGCATTAAGGACTCAAAAATTTTCATTTTTTCAAGAAATATTGTATGATATTGCACAACATCAGAACATTCATGCCTATTATAGTAGATTTCTTGTCAATGCTGCTGATATACAAGACCAAGATGGCAAAACCATTTTCGAGCTATTTCTAATGAAATTAAAGTGCGAGAGCTAGTAACATGTGGTAAAACATTTTTATAAACATAATCTTGAAACTTTTTAGCAGTTATCTTTTCACCAATAGTACGAATAAAACGTAAGCAAGAGTTTTGTATGTTCTCATTGTCAATAAGAGCTGGTGTATATTTTCTGTAACCTTGTTGAGAGACAGGTAAAGTCTTGGTTGCAATCCAATTCTTTGACCACTCACAAATATGGCGTGCCATCCATGGACCATGTTGAAAGACTTGTTGTAATATTTCAAGACTCAATTTTATACAAGAGTATGACTCTTCATTATTAAAAATTGCATTAAGATACTGTACTTATGTATAGCAAGAAGATGAAGATATTCATAAGCATTCAAATTTTTCATATCCTTAAGTTTATCATTTAATTTATTTAATCATTCTGAAATAGAA